TCTACTTCCCTGCAAACCAACCACCCCACCCTCCCCCACTACCCTCCCCCCTTCGAGCACCACTTGCAGAGGCAATAAAGTCATTGTTGCTTCACATTCATGCATTCTTTATTAATTCAGCACACAACTAGGGGGATAATTGGAAAGGTAGCCCGGGATGGGTGGGGGAGGAGGGAAGGAAAAGGACACACTCCAATTTAAAACTTTAAAACTTATTGCTATGGAAATCATCTAGGGTGGAGTGAGTGGGTGGCCGAAGGCCCCCCCACCGTGTTCTTGGGCGTCTGGGTGAGGAGGCAATGGGACTTGGGGAGGATGGCTGCTGGTTACAGAGGGGCTGTAGCGGCGGTCTCTGCTCCTGCTGCCTTTCCTGCAGCTCAACCATACGCAGGAGCATATCACTTTGATGCTCCAGCAGCCGGAGCATCGACTCTTGCTTTCTGATTACAAGTTGACGCCACCTCTCCTCTTCAGCCCGCGTTTCAGCACGCAACTTCTCCTCTTCAGCCCGCGATTCAGCACGCCACCTCTCCTCTCGCTCATATTGGGCTTTTTTAAAATCAGTCATTGACTGCCTCCACGCATTCAGCTGTGCTCTGTCAGCGTGGGAGGCAGTCTGAAGTTCAGTAAACATTTCGTCACGCGTCCTTCGCTTCCTTCTTCGAATATTCACTAGCCTCTGCGAAGGAGTAAGATTTGCAGCTGGTGGAGAAGGGAGAGGTTGTTAAAAAAGATACATTTTAGAGAACAATGGGTAGACTCTTTCACGTTAGATTTTGCTGTTCACAACATCACACAGCACATGTGCTTTCGTTACAAGGTCGCATTTTTCCTCTTATATTGAGAGTCTCCTGGTTTGGTGTGAGAGATCACTCACGCAGTGCCAGGACACAGATTTCAGCTTGCAGGCAGCCATGGTAAGACATATAGTCTTTGGGCTTTTTTAACCTTCTTAACATGTGGGGATGGTTTCAAACAGTTCTGCCCTCATTTCCCATACCAAGCACCCGTGCCATTTAAAATGGGTTTGCAATGTAAAAGGAGGGGCTGCGATTTCAGGTTTAACATGCAGCACAAACCCAACTAACTCCCCTCCCCCTCACACCCAATTCTCTGGGATGGTCACTTCAACCCTCCCCCCCACCGCGTGGTTAACAGCGGGGAATATTTCTGTTCAGCAGACCAGGAAGGGGCACCTCTGAATGTCCCCTTAATAAAATTGCCCCATTTTAACCAGGTGACCGTGAATGATATCACTCTCCTGAGGATAACAAAGAGTGATAAGGAATGGATGTTGTCTGCATGCCAGCAAACACCGGGACCATACGCTGCCATGCTTTGTTATGCAATGATTCCAGACTACGTGCTACTGGCCTGGCGTGGTAAAGTGTCCTACCATGGCGGACGGGATAAGGCAGCCCTCCCCAGAAACCTTTTGCAAAGGCTTTGGGATTACATGAAGGAGAGCTTTCTAGAGATGTCCCTGGAGGATTTCCGCTCCATCCCCATACACGTTAACAGACTTTTCCAGTAGCTGTACTGGCCGCGATTGCCAGGGCAAATTAATCATTAATCATTAAACACGCTTGTTTTTAAGCCATGTGTAATATTTACAAAGGTACACTCACCAGAGGTCCCCTGTGTGCCCTCAGGGTCTTGGGTCAGTTCGGGGGTTACTGTTTCCAGGTCCAGGGTGACAAACATATCCTGGCTGTTGGGGTAACTGGTTTCTCCGCTTCCTTGCTGCTGTGAGCTATCTATGTTCTCTCCATCCTCATCTTCCTCGTCCGCCGAACCCGCTTCCCCGTTTGCAGAGAGGGACTCATAGAACACGCTTGGGCTAGTGGTGGCTGCACCCCCTAGAATGGCATGCAGCTCCGCGTAGTAGCGGCATGTTTGCGGCTCTGCCCCGGACCTTCCGTTTGCGTCTCTGACTTTGTGGTAGGCTTGCCTTAGCTCCTTAATTTTCACGCGGCACTGCCGCGCGTCCCTGTTATGGCCTCTGTCCTTCATGGCCTTGGAGATCTTTTCTAATGTTTTGCCGTTTCTTTTACTGTTTCGGAGTTCGGCGAGCACTGCTTCATCTCCCCAGATGGCGATCAGATCCTGTACCTCCCGTTCGGTCCAGGCTGGAGCTCTTCTGCGATCCTGGGACTGGGACTGGGACTCCATCACGGTTACCTGTGCTGATGGGCTCTGCATGGTCACCTGTGCTCTCCACGCTGAGCAAACAGGAAATGAAATTCAAACGTTCGCGGGGCTTTTCCTGTCTACCTGGCCAGTGCATCTGAGATGAGAGTGCTGTCCAGAGCGGTCACAATGAAGCACTGTGGGATAGCTCCCGGAGGCCAGTAATGTCGAATTCCGTCCACACTAGCCCAATTCCGACCCCCTAAGGTCGATTTTATCGCTAATCCCCTTGTCGAGGTGGTGTTAGGAAACCGGTTTAAAGGGCCCTTTAAGTCGACAGAAAGGGCTTCGTAGTGTAAACGTGTCCAGGCTTAAGTCGATTTAACGCTGCTAAAGTCGACCTAAACTCGTAGTGTAGACCAGGCCTGAGATCCAGATCCACAAAGGTATATAGGCTCCTAACTTCCATTGGATTGGAATTCCTTTGTGGATCTGGCCCAGGGTACCCCTAACTCCCATTGAAATCAATGGGAGTGAAGAGTGCTTAGCGCCTCTTTGGAGGAGATTAGTATCTTGCAGAATTGGACCCTCAATCTGTAACACATTCATGTTCTAGCTTATCATTGCTGAGAGTTTAATCTTGGATGATGCGTCTGAAGTATATGTTACTAGATGGCTGAAATTTAGTTGTGTGTGCAAAATATTCATCAAATGATTTTACTGTCACCATTGTGAATGACACAATTACAACTAAAGTTAACATACTTTTTTAACTTTTGGGGGGATGGATCTTCAATCTCTCTTCTTTCCCCCTCCCACCATAACTTACATTTAAGGTCCCTGCATCACGTTAATCCTTTCCATCTCCAGTGGATATAAGGCTCTGAACTGGGAGTCGGGGTTTCTTTTCCCTGCTCTGCCACTGATATGCTATGTGACCTTGGGCAAGTCACTTTATATCTGTTTGGTTGTCTCATGGAATAAAACCATCGGACTCATTCTTTTAGACTTCATCCCAGTAGTGAGGGAGGCACTTTCCTGTCTGTGATTTAGGCCCCAATCCAGTAAAACACTTAACCACATGTTTAACTGTAAGAATAGGATTAGTCCTTTTTGAATCAGTGGATCTACTCACCTGCTTAAAGTTAGGGCATGTGCTTGACTACTTTCATGCCAGTTTTTTTATGAGTCTTCAACTTCAGGTTGTGGTTTTGTAGGTGCAAATTTGTGGGCACTGGTGTTAACATGTAGATTACTGAATACCTGATTTATTCTGGGTGCAATCCAGGTAATTAGACATCTAATAATCAAATATGCACACACAAACCCCAGCTTGCATATGTGTATATGGGGTTTACCCATGTACATGTTTGTCATGTTCAAAAGTGCAAGTGAGTTTTGTATGCCCACAATGAATTGTGCCTGAAAACTTGGAGGGTGTTCTTAAATATTGGAATCCTAAAAGCTTCTATTAGTGTCTCAAATGAAAGAAGGTGTGTGTGTGTGTATCTCCCATATGGAATTAGAGATCGGGAGGATTTCCAATGGGGTTTTCACGAAGCAAAAATGAAAGCATTAGAGGTTTCCTATTGTAAGAAAAGATCCCAACAGAAATGCAGCCTCTCCACCTTACACTGGTGAGTGGAAATGCTGCAATCATTGATATGCCAGAACTGAAAACTGCACTCACTTTTCTTGTGGAATGAGGGCCCTGGGGCTTTTTTGTTTTTTGTTTATAATTTAAGAGAACACAAGTGACTAGGTAGTTTGGAGATCAGTGAGCTCTCAATTGGTCACTGAACTCGATGGTGCAATGACCAGTGAGTTTATTCATGGACACCCAAACTTCGATGTCAAAGGGCCACATCTAATTTCCATAAAACGGGGCAGACTGCAGCTACCCTCATCTCTAATGTAGAGGAAGATGTGCAGCCCACAGAGACTATAGGTTCCAACATGCAGTGCTCCATCTTGACCTGGGTGGAAGGCTACAACTGGTGGGAGCATAACATGCTGTGGCTATATTCCTTGAGGGCTGCTTCTAAGGCCAGGTCTACACTTGATAGCTGTACTGGTATTACTATGTTGGTTAGGGGTGTGATTCTTACTATACAATGATTTGTATTATAAAAATACATAAGTCCTATTGTGGATGCAGTTATACCACTATAAAAGTGGCTTATATGATATGGTGCCCTTGTGGTATGGAACAGTTATGGCACCTTTACACGGATATAACTGTATCCACACTAGGTGAGTTGTATCTCTTTAACCATATCAGTATTGTTAAAGAGGTACAACTTTCTAGTGTGGACAAGGCCTCTGTACTAAAGATGTGGGCAGACACAAGACCTGGTGTAGAATTCAATGGGCTGCTTCAGCTCCTCAGCCTGTGCTTTGGCCACCCCTGGTTTACTTGCACCTGTAAGTGCCCCAAGCCCATTCCATTAGACTGTTTGACATGTAAACACCCCTTTTTGGTGTCTTCAAAGCAGGTCCTGTGACAAATAAAGGTAGTTACTGCCCTTCAAAGGAGGAAGATAATTTGTTGCAGGTGCTTTCTCAATAAATGCATAATTACATGGGTGGATTCCAGTTAGGTAGATACTAGCAGCTGTACCCAGATCGTCCTATCTTGAACGCACACACTGCCATAAGGATTACCTTGATATAGAATGTATTGGGGAACTACTAAAGCAGTGGTTCCCAACCACAGGTCCATGTATCAATACTGATACTTGAAGCTTTCGTAAGTGATGCTCAGGTATTGTGAATGGAAAGAAAGTTTGTTACATGGTCAGATGAGTGCATGAAAAGCTACTTGGTTATATAATAAAACATTTTTGTTTTATACCTTTTTATTCCAACAGGAAATATGGGATGTATAAAATCAAAAAGAAAAGAGACTCTGCCTGGAGATGGGCTAGATTTGAAGAACCAACCAGTACGTAAAACTGAACGAACTATTTATGTGAGGGATCCAACGTCCAATAAACAGCAAAGGCCAGTAAGTAGATAGTCTTAGGGGAGAATTCCAATAGCAAGATCAAAGCATGACTGGCATGATTTAAATTTAAATCAAAAACACATGCATGCAGAAGCTATAATTATTCATTTTTGTCTACAATTTTGCTTTGCAACTCACCGTCAATAAGTATGCAATATTTTAAAAAGCCCTTGGCGGTTTATTGCCTGGTAAATATTGGCTGTGCCTTCTTTTTATATAGAGAAAATACTCCCTGACATGTTATTGGGTTGCGGGGGGGGGGGGGTGGGGGTGAGGGGAAGGGAGGTTTGGTATGTTTGATGCTCTAAAGAAATGCTGAGTGACTCTAAGGAAGTCTGAAATAGTTTCGAAATACTGTAGTTCTAAAAGCACCAGTATTTTAGAAGCGTTTTGCACTTTTAAGCTCATAAGAACTGTAGAGCATCAGAATTTCTTTGTAAAAGCACCACCCCTTTATTTTTAATGTGTAGTTCTACACTGATACGGAGTGTACTGTTGCATGTAGTTACAGTGCAGCAAACCTTGACTTCTCACCTCTCTCCATAAGCATATATGGACTGAATGGCAGCAGAATGGATACAATTCTGCTGTATAGGGCAAAGCAAGCCAGTGGAAAACCCCTGTGTGCTGTGTAGCAGTGCTCCATCCACAGTAGCAAAGAGAGGGTGTTGAAGGCAGGCCACTGGTGTAACTCATGGGTCTGCTACCATTCAGGTCCACTAGTAAAACCCCTCTCCTGAGTAGGGGGAAACACAGCATCACCTGCCAAGTATGTCTGCAGCCAGGAGGGGGAAGGATGCCATGAAATCTCCTGTGCAAAACCCTATAAGATGACCTTGTACAGAGGATATAAGCATTTTTCACACTAAATTGGCAAAATATAAGGATTGTCACCGCCTGGATAAAAATGAAATAATTCCTTTTTCTCAGCTGCTCAGTCAGCCGTAAACATGTTTCCCCACATCTCCACTCAGTAAACGAAAAGTAAATATATTTTATAGGGCTGTCAAGAGATTAAAAAAATGAATTGTGATTAATCGCAGTTTTTAATCACACTGTTAAATAGTATTCTATTATTGTTTATTTAAATACTTTTTGGTGGTTTTTTTATATTTCAAATATAGGTGTGGGGCTCTGGGCTGGGGCTTCTGCCCCCTGCTGCCAATGCCTCCCTCCCTGCTAAATACGCAGTCAAGGCATTAAAAAAAAGTAATGCATTAATTTTTGTTTTCAGTTAATTGCAGGCGTTAACTGTAATTAATTGACAGCCCTAATATTATTTTTAGCTTTCTGAGGGCAGATCCTCACAGTGATAATTATTGCTCTGTTGCCCTGTTAAAGTAGCTTTGTCAAAGGTCAGTGCAGCAACAGCAAAGCTGTGAATTTTCTACTTCACTTCAATTTTCAGCTTGGTGAGGTGTGAGCTGCTAAGTTCAAAGTCTAGTTGGGACTTCAATGTTTACTTTATCATTTGCCTTTAAAATTGCCCAGGAAAAATAGCCACATGCTTCTTTTCAATTAAAGTTTTGTGGATGTTGTCTTAGAAATATGTAAGATGACTCCACACCAGCTGAAGAATCTTTTATATATTATGTACTGTGCATATAATATATATAATCATAGTGATCTACAACTACTTAATTAACGAATATTTTGTTGTAGGGAAATACAGAAATGCACCTTTTACCAGGGCAGAGATTCTGTAAAGAAGGTATGTTTCCATAAGAACGTTAACAACTTGTGATAACCGTATATGAACAAATATAATAGTAAGAATGTCACTTGGCTTTCTGCATTAATAGACGCGGAGGAGCATGGGGACATTGTAGTAGCCTTGTATCCTTATGAGGGAATTCATGAAGATGACTTGTCCTTCAAGAAAGGAGAAAAAATGAAAGTTCTTGAGGAGTAAGTATAGTAACGTTGGCTGTACTGTACCTTATCTCTGGATATCACTGCATCCCTATATAGATGTTGGTTTTCTCTCTGTCTCTCTCTTACACATGCACACGCACACGCACGGAAAAAGGCTCCTTTCCATGTGAAAGTGAAACTGTGTCCTTTCCCCCAGCCCCTGTAACACTTGGGCAGCTGATCGGATGAGGGTTGTAGCAGTTTGCTCTGAAGTTTCTGACCCTCTAAAGTTTCTGAGATGGCTGAACTTCAGAGATAAATGCTGTTTTTTCCCCACCAGCCCAATCAAGGTCCTCAGCAGCACCACAGAAGTAGCTAAATAACCTTTCATTATTTTTTGTTTGCATGTTGTGAATACTGTTGTTGTTTTGTATTTCAGGCTTGGAGAATGGTGGAGAGCTAAATCTCTCTCAACAAAGAAAGAAGGCTTCATTCCAAGCAACTATGTAGCAAAAGTAAACACCTTGGAAACAGAAGAGTACGTTCTTCTATATTTCAGTACATTTGAAACTTTCTTTTCCACCCTGTTGCATATCCTTAGGGGTAGAGAAAAAAAAACCTAACTCTTTCAAAATACTTTTCAGATGGTTCTTCAAAGATATAACCAGGAAAGATGCAGAGAGACAGCTTCTAGCACCAGGAAACAATCCTGGGGCATTCCTTATCAGAGAAAGTGAAACATTAAAAGGTAGGCAATGGATTACTTTGGGATTGATATCAGAGTTAAAAATGAACGTATATCATCAAGATCTGAAGTTGGCCCAATATGTTATGTTGTTTCCTGCATATATCAGTGAATTGAATTAGACTGTGGTAAAGTCTCCAAAGGAAGTGAGGGAGTCCTATGGCTTAAAACCTACTCAGAAAACTGTGACTCCTAGGATGGGTTAGATGATCACTTTAAATGTGAATAATAGTTGTCCTGTTCTGTAAAGCTCTTTGAGATATCAAATCTTACAAATACAGGTTTTATAGTATATTTGTGGCACCCGGGCGTTTGCACTGTAGGTAGAAAATCAAACTAGATTTTTATAACAGAAGCCATTATTTGTACTGAAAAGATTAATGGAGACACTAGACTAGAATTTTCAAAGGAACCTGAGAAAGTTAGGCACCAACATCTCATTGATGCATCTAGTCCAGTATATTGTCTCCAACAGTGACCGTGCCAGATCCTCCAGGGGAAGATGCAAGAATCCCTGCAATGGACAATTATGAATAACCAGCCAATAAGGTGTTGGCCTGGCTTAGGGTGACCAGATGCTAAGTGGAAAATATCGGGACCGCTGCGGTGGGGGCACCTGTTTAATTGTTACACTCACCCGTCCGGGTCTTCGGCGGCAATTCAGCAGAGGGTCCGTCAGTCGCTGACAGTCTTCGGCAGCATTTCGGCGGCAGGTAATAAACCTTGCCCACCAAAGACAGAAACACTCGCCGCCGAAATGCTGCCAAAGACCATCAGCAACTGAAGGACCCTCCGCCGAATTGCCGCCGAAGACCCGGATGGGTGAGTGTTTCAAATAAAAAAAAAAAACCAAAAAAGCCCGTAACAAAATATCGGGACAAATGGCGCCCCAACCGTACTTTGGTCGGGACGCGGGACAAACTCCTCAAAATCGGGACAGTCCCGATTTTATCGGGATGTCTGGTCACCCTAGCCTGGCTTGATTTGAGTAATTAAACATGGAGGAGGCTTCATTTCTTGGAAGACAGGATTAGGGAGGTAACTTGATTAGCAGACTGAAAATGGAATGCTTGTGCTAAAATAAGTAAATGGGTCAGTAAGCTAAAAGACAGTCTGAGGTAGCTAAGATTAGAGGGGGAACACCCAGGGCGCCATTTGCTAAGAACAGGATAACAATGGACAAGAGAAGTTGGGAGCATAAAGATGAGGTAAAGAGTAAAGTCGAACATGGGTAGCACATGGACAGAGCATTCTGCACTGGGATTGGTTCCTGCAAAGTAACCAAGCCAGTCCCAAAACACGTAATGCAATGTATAGTGAATGTAATGCAATTTCTAAATGTATATAAAGACAGGGAGTTTGTGTAATTTGGATGTGTGGTACGCCCTATACCCAGCCCCTACACTTAAGCCTGATCAATTCAAGTGTCAATTATATGCCAATAAAGAAACCTCGGTGACAAGTTTGGAGTCAAGCTGAGTTCCTGGATACATGTGGATCTTGTAATTCTTCCCTTCTGCTTGTCCAAAACCCCCTCCTCGCTAGCCTATTTGCAGCATCCAGGGGCTTAAGGCACACGGATTCCTTGTACTGGCCCTCGTGCCAGGGTGAATTTCAGCCTGTATATCCATTAGTGAGGTTGGGCTAATCCTGCAGTTGCTTCTGGACATGGTCCTAATGAAGTCAATGGGACTATGCCCAGGAATAAGAATAGCCATTGTGACAAAGTTCCTCCTCTATCTTGGTGGGTCTTGCGCTTATTGGCAGATTTTCTTGCCTCAGAGATTCACCATGTGGGTTGGGGAACAGCCCAGAGACCTTCCCCTCTGGGAGAACCCACAGTCCAGGTCAATTGGGAGGTTTGGGGGGAACCCAGGCCTGCCCTCTACTCCGGGTTCCAGCCCAGGGCCCTGTGGACTGCAGCTGTCTATAGTGCCTCCTGTAACAGCTGCATGACAGCTACAACTCCCTGGGCTACTTCCTTATTCTCACCACAGGACCTTTCTCCTGGTGTCTGATAACGCTTGTGCTCCTCAGTCCTCCAGCAGCACACACTCTCAGCTCCTTGCACCTCTTGCTCCCAGCTCCTCACACTCACACCACAAACTGAAGTGAGCTCCTTTTTAAAACCCAGATGCCCTGATTAGCCTGCCTTAATTGATTCTAGAAGCTTCTTCTTAATTGGCTCCAGGTGTCCTAATTAGCCTGCCTGCCTTAACTGGTTCTAGCAGGTTCCTGATTACTCTAGTGCAGCTCCTGCTCTGGTCACTCAGGGAACAGAAAACTACTCATCCAGTGACAAGTATATTCGCCCTCTACCAGACTCCTGTACCGCACTGGTCTGGGTCTGGGATCTGCCCAACTGAGCTTCAGAATATTGTCAGAATATTACCAAAAAAGAAAGAGAGAAAATTAGTCTGAGCATCTCCATTGGTACTGAAACAGAAAATTCGCTTTCTGGATAAATTTAATACCAGCAACAGAGCCTGCAGTTGGCTAACTTCTTCATGCCAATCATTTGGGATGATTGCAGAATGCTTTTTGGAGTAAATAGGGGACAAGAGAAGCAGGCAAAAAAATGAACATGTTTGTTGCATATATTAATATTGAACTACAGCAATGTGTGCAATATAGATGTCCTATCTACTAAACAACATCTTTGCACTGTTTGTCCACAGGCAGTTATTCTCTGTCCATCAGGGACTATGATCCACAGCATGGTGATGTTATTAAGCACTACAAAATAAGGAGTCTAGACAATGGAGGATATTACATCTCTCCAAGGATTACATTTTCCACCATCAACGACATGATCAAACATTACCAAAGTAAGTTAACTCAGTCAGTGGCTTGCTTATCAGACATTAGGCATTGTTTTCATTAAAGCAAATAATCAGAATGCTTTCCTTGTTCTATTTCAAGTCTTTCCACATTTTTTGTAAAAATCCAAGCACTGAGAATTGTAGCAAGATGAATATTAGCCTTGATTCTGACCTCCCATATGCTTGTGTAAATGAAGAGTAACTCCATACAAGTCAATGTCAATGTTACACCGATGTGAAACTGGTACTAGAGAATAATCAGGCCCAGTGTCAATAACTGCTGTTTTTGTAAGTGTAAACAGATATAGGTGGACATTATGATACACTGGAATTTTAAATATTTTTTATACATAAATGTCTTCCAGTATCGTATCTGGTGATTTATATGAAACAAAATCAACGCTGTAATTTTCTTGTGCCAACAATGACATTTTTTGTGAGTGACTTTGTGATGGGAATGCAAACTTCCCGTTGACTTCAAAGGGAGAAGGGATTGGGTCCATCAACAGTAACCTCTTATAACAATGTTTACAGCTGCTTATTGAGTACAAAAGTGACTTTTCATTGCCTATACCTTCTTGAAGTCAGGAAAAGGAGATTTGGTGCCCATTCTGTAGCTGAAAAAAAGAGAAGGTTGAAGTTTTCAAAGCCATACTGGAGGTTTAGCCACACAATTTCGATTAATTTTAATTTATGATGTGTGGTAAATCCCCTGCACTGACTGGAAAATCTCAACCCTACTTTATTACATTTATTTTTTCTCTGTAAGTGTGTAGTGACTGGAGAAGTAATTATTATCTATTTAGTGGGTGGGTGGGTGGCTACTGTATAATTTAAGAGCTGCACAGAAATGTAACAAAATATTAGGCTCAGTCCTGATTTTTATTGAAGTCCAGTGGCAGCTTTTCCATTATCTAGATTTCACAGGATTGTAGCCAATATTTCCTCTAAAGGGAAAAGAGAAAACACATCAGCATCCTTCACCATACAGCACTTAGCCTAGAAAATACTACGGGTGTAGATTACTTGTCTACAGCTTGGCACGATGCCTTTTGGTATGAAACACCTCAGAAGCTAACTAAATCACTCTTTCTTAACTGACTGAGCCAACATACTGTGTACATTAATGACATCAGAGATATGCTGCTGTATCAAAAACTCTCCCATCTTAAAAGGCATTATGGTCTAGTGGCCTAAACATAGGACTCAAATCAACAGAGGGTCCTGAGGCACCTTTAAGACTAACGGAAGTATTGGGAGCATAAGCTTTCGTGGGTAAGAACCTCACTTCTTCAGATGCAAGAAGTGAGGTTCTTACCCACAAAAGCTTATGCTCCCAATACTTCTGTTAGTCTTAAAGGTGCCACAGGACCCTCTGTTGCTTTTTACAGATTCAGACTAACACGGCTACCCCTCTGATACTTGACTCAAATCAAGAAATTCCTGAGATCTATCCATAGACCCTCCTTTGTGAACTTGTGCAAGTTACATAGTTTTAAACTCAGATGCCTAAAATTAGGCACCTTAATAAGTGAGTCTGTGCTAAAGAAATGCTGACTGAAGTCAATGGAAGTGGTACGTACTCAGAACTTCTCCTGATTTGAATCACATACTTTACTAAGCAACAAGATCTTTTTTTTTCTTAAGCAGTATTTCCCATTCTGTCTTCATTAACATACTTTCAGCAGTTCGAACATACATTTTATTTACCTTGGCACTATTTATCTTAGTGCACTGTTGAAGTAAAGAAAAGCAAATCTAATGACGATATGAGCAACAACAATCTCTTTGCATCTGCAGATCTATGGCATCTAATGCAGATCACACATGTTATAAATTGGCTCTAGAATGCAAGAACTCCCAAATCCCACTATGGAAGGTTAAAAATAGTATGAAGGTTGTAGTGAAGTTGGTTCAGGTCTGCAGTTGCACATGCTTTACTGTAGGCACATAAATGTAATGTAATTACAAAATGTAATAGATTTTCTACTTGGTTTTTCTTTAAAAAATAGAGCAGTCAGATGGTTTATGCAGAAAGCTGGAAAAAGCATGTGTTTGTCCAAAACCCCAAAAACCTTGGGATAAAGATGCCTGGGAGATTGCACGAGAATCAATTAAATTAGTGAAGAAACTTGGAGCTGGTCAGTTTGGAGAAGTTTGGATGGGTAAGTTTACAAGTCTTTGGTTTGCTTAGTGCTTTGAAAAGGATCTTTAAATATTCAAAATGTCACTGAAATATAAATATATACAGTGCAGTTTCAAGGATCCAGATTCATCCCTGGTGTTGTTACTTAGATTTGATTGGAGTAACATCAGGGATAAATTTGGCCCAATATATATATTTGCAATCAGCATATTAAGTCCCAAAAAATGCTCTGTCTGGGCAGTCAAACTCCTTGTAGAATTTTCTCTGATAGCTTTTGTGGGGAGTGAGTTCCCCTATGGAAGAAACTGTGGTTTGACTCTCAGAATTCATGGGTCTCACAGGATCTGCAGGAGCCTTCTGTACTGCCTCTTGATCCCCAGTGAGTCCCCCTGGTTCCCTGTCAGCGCACCTGTAGGAATTATGCTGACTGCTTCCCTTGCAGGTAGAGATCCCTGGAACTCTGCCCTAATGCCTTACACTGTAGGGCTATGCAGATTATATGTAGCACCCACTGTCAGGCTTTTTTTTAAAAGCCATGGTGCAATAGTTTTCCATAAGGGCAGTTCTACAAGAGAAAAGGTTTGCCAGTATAGCTCTAACAGCAAACCCCCCCTATTAAAGAAACAGCTCATACTGGCCACACACACACAAAAAGTGACTTTGCTGATATAGCTTGTACCGGCTCCCCAAGTGAAATAAGCTATACCATCAGAATAACTTTTATGTCAGTATAATTGCATCTACACTGTGGCTTCTGCCAGTATAGAAATGTCACACACACAAAAAATCACATTCCCAACCAACATTCCTGACAAAAGTTTCTAGTGTAGACTTGTCCTGAGCCTCAGGTCCCGCATGTGTGTTATGCCTTTGTTCTTCTTTCTCCCTCTTCCTCTAAATTCTAGTGTTGTTCATAAGTAGGACCCTGTGTAAATCACTGCTGTTTATATATTTTAGAAAATTCACTACAATGTAAATAGGAAAGTATTGAATTTCACGGAGTTTGCACTTTGTCAGTTTCAAGGAGGGAATGAATTTTACAAGTATTATTCTATGCAGTGGTGTGGTAGCTGTGTTGGTCCCAGGATATTAGAAAGACAAGGTGGGTGAGGTAATAGCTTTTTATTGGGCCAATGGCGCTTCTCTCTCACCAGTAGAAGTTGGTCCAATAAAAAGATGAGACCTCACCCACCTTGCCACAAGTAACATTAGTCAATTTCAAGGCAGTGCACACAGCACTCCATTCTTCCACACATGTGCGCAACACTGTAAGCTAAGGTAGCGGTTTTTTTTTTTTTAGACTTTGTTGTAGACATTTGCCTTTTATTTATATAATATAATCACTATTGGGGAGCATTTTCATGATTGCTGCACCCTCTGTGAAATCATCATTTCAACAGGGCTATATTCATAAGGGCCTCCCATTGACTCCAATAGAACTCTCTTAGCTTTACAAACTGCATGATACCTCAGGATTTGGTCCAACACGTTTTGCTAGATGTCTCTACCTTTACAAAATACTCTCTTAAAATCAGGGTAAAGGTGTTTATTTGAACACTTGAAATACGAAACAAAATGTGTGTTTTAGTGAATAATGTGCAGAGCTTCAGCGTCTCTTGATAAAGAGAAGACTGGAAAGTAGCACATAGGAATTGTCATACTGGATCAGAACCAGTGGTCTATTTAGTCCAGTATCTTGTCTCTGGCTTTGGCCAGTACCATCTGCTGTCCAGGAAGGTGTAGAAACTCTGCAGTAGGCAGATTTGAGAGTAATCAGCTCCAGTATTGTTTCATCTTGGTCTCCAAAAGTTAGAATGTCCTGAAGACCCAAAAGTATGAAGTTTACTATCCCTTCCAAAACATGTTTAGTATTAATTATGATAACCCTAGTTATTCTTGTTATCCATCTAAATATACAGTTCTTTGTTGTTCTTGGCTTCAATGAATTCCTGTGGCAATGAGTTCCACCGTCTAATTACATGTACGTGAAGAGTATTTACTTTTGTCAATTCTGAATTTTCCACCTTTTAAGTTTCATTGTATGTTCCCTTGCTTTTGTGTTATGAGAACAGAAGTTCCTGATCTACCTTCTCTATGCTGTTCATTATTTTATATACTTATGTCCCTTCTTATTCATCTCCCTTCGGAGGAAAACCAATCCAGTCTTTCAGTCTCTATGTCCCTAATGCTACTCCTCACCCTTCTCTGACTCTCCTCTTCACTTTCATAGGTCACCTTTAAAGAATAAGCATTTTAACATGTTTTTAAATAAGATACAGTGGGCAATGTATTTCTGAGCAATGAAAGTATGCCTGAAAGCTAGTCAGGAGGTACAAAGATAGGCCAGAGTGACTCTAGCCACCCAAAATAGCATAACAGTCTCATCAGAACACACTATTTGGAATATTATTGTTTTGAAATGGTATGTGTATATATAAAAGTAAAGATCTAGATCTGTATATTGCCATGGTTGTGGCATCCTTGATAGTCAAACAGAAAGGTCTAATTCAGTGATACACTTAATCTTTGACTATAAAACATACTACTTGTGCTCTGCTTTTATAACTGTATTATACGTTATGACTGAATGCAGCTTTTATCTTCTCTCATGAGAAGAAGCTTGAGGCCTCTAGCTGTGAGGCTCATGAGTGATGCTTACTCACTAGTTAAGACAAGGGTCAGCCATTGTGCATTTTTTCCCTGTGTAATACACCAGGTCAATAAATATTGTGACTGACACTGAACTGCTATAAAAAAGTCAGTGTGGTATGTTGTCATCTGTAGAAATTGCAGCTAATTTCAGGAAGCTACTAGTTCTGCATACACATGCACAAAAATTAAAAGGGGGTGTTTCTGGTTCAAGATGTTTCCTCTTGTTTATGTGATGATCTCTCTACATGGGCTTAACATTTTCCTCTGTGGATTGTTGTTACATTATGTGGGAAATTACTGTACTGTGAAGTTGAGTAGCGTGTTTCCTCTCACTCTCTCTGCATCTTTTCTGAAGCAAGAGAAGCTGATTTGCATGGTGGGGATCCTTTCTGAACAAGCGTGTTTAATCTTAGAACTGAAGACGTTATAACTGGAAAAGACCTATTAGGTCACCTAGCCCAGGCCCATGCCAGGACAGGATTGTAGTAAGCACCACGGCCTCATTTATTAATAGTCAGCTCCTTAACGCTTCCCTTAGTTTGGAAATAAGATGGTTATATTCTCTCAATGATAAATTACTTCTGCCTTTATGGGACAAAGATGATTCTTTTAAGCAATACTATGTACCAGGTACAAACCACAATTGATGGCTTGATTTCTGAAGAACTTTCTGTTAGGAGGAGGAGAGTAACTAGTTTTATAGTTACAAAAGGGTGGGAAGGAAGAGGGGTGTGTGAGAGAGAGAGAGGGAGATCACATCTGCTAGCAGCAGTATAGTTATGGGTCTGTCAGCATCTCTTCATGTTTCATTTTTTTTCAAGAGTTTATAGTTCAGTCGTAAACATTCCTGGAGGGATTGAAACTTGGTGTAAAATGCTTCATCTATGATTTCTTTGGGGTTTAAAAGAAGTTGGCTTGACTCATAGGATGAGTCAAAACACACAGGGATCTGCCTATATCTCCTTTTGAATATGTACCTGAAGCGGTGCCTTTTGCTCTCTTTATATGCCTGTGTGGGGAATAGGTAGAACTCTGTTGCTTGTGTGCCAATGGTGCTAACCACTCCAATGTTCGCATGGCTGAGCTGGGTGTGGAGGTGGAGTTGCTGTTCCACTTCCCCCACCACGGTGGTTAGGAGATGACGACTGATGTTGAGGGAAGTGCATGCTCTAGGCATTGAAAGGAAGTAGAGGAGTCATTGCTCACTGTGGTCCCGGCCAATGCCCAAAAAGTATTCTGCCAGTTTCAGCCGCTATATAGCCTGAGATGTTCTGTGGTTTCAAGACAATTTTTACTTCTGTAACTCAGACTAGGCTCTTAAGATATAATTTTGCAGGCAATTATTGTTTTGGAGCAGGGAATGAAAAGGTATATTGTACAGATTAAAACAACGAGGGGTCCTTGTGGTTCCTTAGAGACTAACAAATTTATTTGGGCATAAGCTTTCGTGGCTATAACCCACTTCATCAGATGCATGGAGTGAAAAATACAGTAAGCAGTATATATATTACAGCACATGAAAAGATGGGAGTTGCCTTACCAAGTGGGGGGGGGGTCCAGTGCTAACGAGGCCAATTCAATTAGGGTGGATGTGGCCCATTCCCAACATTAACAAGAAGGTGTGAGTATCAACAGAGGGGAAATTATTTTTTGTAGTGACCCAGCCACTCCCAGTCTTTATTCAAACCTAATTTGATGGTGTTGAGTTTGCAAATTAATTCCAGTTCTGCAGTTTCTGGTTGAAGTCTGTTTTTGAAGTTTTTTTGTTGAAGAATGGCCATTTCTATGTTTAAGCCACATTAGCACTGACCACCACCCCCCACATGGTAAGGCAACTCCCATCTTTTGATGTGCTGTGTATTTATACCTGCTTACTGTATTTTCCACTCCATGAAGCTGATGAAGTGAGCTGTATCCCACGAAAGCTTATGCCCAAATAAATTTGTTAGTCTCTAAAGTGCCACAAGGACTCCTCATTGTTTTTACTGATACAGACTAACACAGCTACCACTCTGAAATCTTGTACAGGTTAGTTCACTAGTCTTTCATCTCTGGTTTTGGAGCTCTGTAATGAAAATCCCTTTGGCTTATAATGGATATCACAAATCCATATCACAGTTTGCTATGACTGAATGTGTGCAAAAGTCTAGTGGAAGTTTGGGCACCCAAGCCCTTGCTCCAGCCAAAATGATCATTCTCTGGGCCATATTTAGTTCTGAAGTAAACATGTACTGCTCCACTAACTTCAGTGGGATTGCATTCTCACATGTAGAGACGTCGGTGGCCCTCTCATGTAACTGGATTGGCAAATTCCCCATGCCTACATGTCATTTTGAGCTCCACATTTCATTTTAAAAAGCATTAACT